CAGTAACTCAATATAAACTAATCTCCCTCAGCTTTCCCAGTAAAAGCAACAGGCCTGTGCAACCCAACTACATTTCCCATCATTCTGTAGCACATAAAAACAATAAAAATACACTTCTGGTCAGAAGTTTGGAATAATTAAGATTTTTTTTAAATGGTTTTTGAAATAAGTCTCTGCACACTAAGCCTTTTATTTGATCAAAAATACAGGAAAAAATGTAATATTGTGAAATATTATTACGATGTAAAATAGCGTTTTTCTATTTTAATATAGATTAAAATCTAATTTATTCCTGTGATGCAAAGCTGAATATTCAGCATCATTACTCCAGTCTTCAGTGTCACATGATCCTTCAGAAATCATTCTAATATGTTGATTTATTATCAGTGCTGGAAACTGTTGTGCTGCTTAATAATTTTTTGGAACCTGTGATACTTTTTTTCAGGATTCTTTGATGAATAAAAAGTTAAAAAGAAGAGCATTTATTTAAAATAGACTAACAGTATACACTACAGTTCAAAAGTTTAGGTTCAGTAAATTTTATTCTTTATTTTTTGAAAGAAATTAAAACTTTTATTCAGCAAGGATGAACTGTTGCCAACATTGATAATTCTAATAATAAATCAGCATATTAGAATGATTTCTTAAGGATCATGTGACGCTTTATACTGGAGTAATGGCTGATGGAAATTCAGCTTTGCATCACAGAAATAAATTATATTTTAAAGGAATTAAAATAGAAACCATTATATTATATTGTAATAACATTTTGCAAGATTACAGTTTTTTCTGTATTTTTGATCAAATAAATGCAGCCTTGATGCACATAAGAGACTTCTTTAAAAAAACATTACAAGTCTTACTGATCCCAAACTTTTGAACGGTAGTGTATATATTTATATATGTATATGTGATACTTGTTTTCTTTATTTTCTGCTTAAAAGGGCAGGACGTCTACACAGAAGAGCACAGCAGACCCAGTGTGGAACGAGCAGGTGGTGTTTAAGGAGATGTTTCCTCCACTGTGTCAAAGACTTAAGATCCGGGTTCTGGATGAGGGAAGCATGAATGATGTGGCCATTGGGACTCATTACATTGATCTACACACCATCTCAAATGACAACGATGGAGACAATGGTTCGCCATTTCATTACATTGTTAAAAAAGAGGTTCTGAATTATAGTGGCCACAAAAAGTATTTGGACACCTTAGAAATGTCTGAAAATTATTCTGTTAGAAAAATAAAATACAAAAAAATATCAAGCCAAGTAGCGTCTTCAAACAAATGGTGGTAGTTATTTAGCATACTCTATTCTTTTATAATTTATTGCTCTTCTCAAGGTTTCCTGCCCACATTTGGACCGGCATGGATCAACCTCTACGGTTCACTTCGTAATTCCACACTGGTGGACGACAGCCAGGAGCTGAACGAGGGTGTTGGAGAGGGGGTGTCCTACAGAGGCAGGGTTTACATAGAGCTGAGTGTGGAGATCCTATCTGGAGGTGCTCCTGACTCTAAAGCCCTGCTCTCAAAAATCAGTCTGAAAGATACCAAGGGAGGAAAAGCAGTGGCGAAAGATCCCAAAACTGGAACAGGAGCCGGAGGTGAGGAAGACAAATCCAAGACTATAGGGCCCGAGGTGATGCCAGTCGAGCCCCCACAGAAGGTTAGGTGTTTGCAGCCGTCTTTCTCCTTTTTGCGCTTTTCTTTAATCTGTCCATCTCACATCTTTTTTTTTCTATTTTTCTATCCATTGTACTAACATTCCCATTATATTGTAAAGCCACCCAAGTCATTGTTTAACTTTAATGTAGATAAATGATGAAGACATGGAAACCTTCCTGCTCTTTGGCTGTGTGTCTGAGACCTCCATGATTGACAGAAGAATCGGTGATAGACCTGTCAGCCTTGAGTTCACCATTGGTAAACATGATGGGACTTACATTCAACAACATATATGCCACTTTCCACAAATAGGTTCAAAATAGGGTCTGAAACTCAACTTTTAATTTTTTTCTGGTCATGGTGGAGATGCTTAATTTGAATGATTAATGTTCATATAGTCAGCCTCGGGAGGATAAACTAAATGCGAAATTAGCTCTTTTATTTTCAACCTATTTTATGTGAAGTTTGTCATTTTTTTTCAACCCTGTTACCAATTTTTGGACTTGTCTAAATATAGTTTTAAACCTTTTTCTTGCATTAATTCTAGATGAGAAAAAATAATAGCAAAATAAAATTAATAAATACAAATATAGAAAAAGAAACTACATCAGGATGTATTAATAAAAAAGAGGCATATTTATCCAATTAAGCTGTCACTCAGTAGAGACTTGTTCATTTGAGAACAAGTATTGGTTTAAGCTCCAATAAATAAACTTAAAAATATCATTTTTTTTACTTGTTCATGACCATTTTTCCATAAAATGTCTTTGGGCATTAATTCTAGATGAGAAAAAATAATAGCAAAATAAAATTAATAAATACAAATATAGAAAAAGAAACTACATCAGGATGTATTAATAAAAAAGAGGCATATTTATCCAATTAAGCTGTCACTCAGTAGAGACTTGTTCATTTGAGAAGAAGTATTGGTTTAAGCTACAATAAATAAACTTAAAAATATCATTTTTTTTTACTTGTTCATGACCATTTTTCCATAAAATGTCTTTGGTAACAACAAGGCTGAACAGTTGAGTTTAATGAATACATTCAAGCTCTTTTTGAGTGTCACAGTTGTTAGAAATGCTCAGTTCTTTGTAATCGACAAACCTTGTGGTAACTATTTGGTAACAAGGTTGCAGAAAAAAATTTTTTTTTAAATTTATATTAGTATTTTTTGTAGTTAAAATTACTAAAAAGCAAAACGAATGTACTAAATGTCATTTGAACAGAATTTGATTCAAAATTATGTTACTGTTATATGATTTTAGGAGTAGGGGTGTGAAAACATTTAAGATCTTTAGGAAGGCATGATACATGCCGTTATTCTTAAACACCTGAAGAACTAGCAATTATATGATTATACATATAATATGACCCCTTTAAATGTGTACATGTTTATTCAGGTAACTTTGGGAACTTAATTGATGGTACTGCGCAGCCTACTTCAAAGAAAAAGCTTGAAGATGTCTCAGTGACCACTCCACTTCTGGACACTGCAGCAACAATGCCGTGCAAATCTACTACAACACCAGAAAGACCTCTTTTCGGAGATGCACAGAGGTGCTTGGATCAAACAACACTAACAAGTTTATACCTTCATTAATTAATGGAAAATACCTTAGTCATGAATAAAACTGGCCCCATAATCTTGTTTGTGCAGGCACTACATGCACTTGCCCATCAGAGCGCAAAAGCCCTGTGTGTATGTTTATAGCAGCTGGGAGGATCGAGCATACCGACTCCATCATGCCAACATGCTGGACACAATTGCCCTGATGTTTGTATGTGAACCCTAAACCTAGTAATCTTTTATTACATTGGCATGAAATCAGTTAGTAGTTCATGTGATTCTTTTCATTTAATGTTAATCAGGAGGAGGGAATCGCTAAGGTGGCGGAATTGGATAAAATGTTGTCTCCAGAAGCAATGACTCTCATGCACCTTGTTCTTCGGGAATTTAGAAGAGATGCCAGGTAGGTCTAAAGGCCATAGGGAATCCCTGTGGAATTAATGGAGATATTCAGTGATAACAGAACAAAAGCTCTTTACCATTAATAGGGGTCTTAACATACTGTTAATGTTAATACATAATGTTAATAGTTTTATGTTCCAATTTCGTACCTTATACCAGTGTCTCCCAACCCTGGTCCTGGAGGCACCCCAACACTGCACGTTTTGTATGTCTCCTTAATCAAACACACCTGATTCAGGTCATCATCTCATTAGTAGAGACTCCAAGACCTGAAACTGGAGTGTCAGAGAAAGGAGACTTGCAAAATGTGCAGTGTTGGGGTGCCTCAAGGACCAGGGTTGGGTACCACTGCCTTATACACCATGACAGGGTGAAACTAATTTCTGAACACCCAATAGGTGTCACTGTTGTGTTAGTTATTACTTTTGTGTCACTGTTCTGCATTATGAAAGGTAAAATATTTTCATAGCAAAATCAAGTGTTTTATTTCACAAGATCAAAGAAAATGTATTGCTCATGAGCCCTATAAGTGGTTTGTTCACCCAAAAATGAAAATTCTGTCTTAATTTACTCACTTGTCTGACTTTCTTTATCCGTGGTCCATTATTATTTATTTTTTATTTTTTAGTCCATACAATGAAAGACTGTGGGATCTAGTGTTGTTTTGGACCCCACTGACTTTCATTGTATGGACAAAAACAATTGGGACATTTTTCTTTTGTGTTCCACAGAGGAAAGATACAGGTTTGTAAAAACATGAGTACATAATGAAAGAATTTAAATTTTGGGGTGAACTATCCCTTTAATGTACTCTCTTCAATAAAATTCTAAAACTGTGTCCTAATTATGTTTCTGCTGGATGTAATGGTATGTTTACTGCAGTGAGTTTATTGCTTTTGCTGAAAAGAAGGTGAAGGCCAGCAACTTGACCTTACTGGACAAAAAGAGGCTCACTCTGTGCAAACAGGAGCTGGTGAGTCTCTTCTGTGCATGCTCTCATTTTTTAAACACCCCTATCTGTAAAACTTCATTCTAACCCTTTTTTTCTTTTACTATTCCTGTATGACTATGAATTATTGCTCATTGCGGCTTTTCCTCCACAGTCTAGTCCAACTCATTCATTTCACATCCAAAATATAAAATTTGTAAAGAAATTAATTTGTAGGTTCAATTTAAAAAAAAATGTTGCTGCTGTTTAGGAAAGTATGACTGAAGTAGCTGGAGGACTCCTTGAGCCCAAGAGGAGATCTTTGACTGTAAAAGAGATGATGCTGGAAGTCCAGAAAATTAAAAAGAAACTGAGATTCCTTGTGGAAGAGGTTGTTATTTTGTGTCACTATTATATGCACATCCTTGACCTCTTATATGTATAATGTAAGTCTCCATCATTACTAATATTTCTCTTCATCTCACGCCTTTCTTAGCCTCAACACACTTTACCAGATGTGTTTGTGTGTCTGGTCAGTAATAACAAGCGTCTGGCGTATGCCAGAATCCCTGCTCGTCACCTGCTCTTCTCACAAAGCCCAGAGCAGAGAGGCCGAGACTGTGGGAAGATCAACACCCTGTTCCTCAAGGTGTGAACTCTGAAATCAAATGCAAATCACATAAAATAGAAAACTGACAAATGCTGAAATACATTTTGTTGGCACTTCTCCTGTAGCTTTTAAAAGGAAATGTATCTTTCAGCCTCCAGGGAAGCGAGGACCAGGGTGGACAGTCCAGGCTAAACTCGATGTGTATTTATGGCTGGGAACTTGCAGAGATTCATTCCACATGTTGGACAATCTCCCATCAGGCTTTGAACTGGAAGGTATCTCATCTGAGGACAGGACTGGCCCTCCTCCTGATTATTTACTCTACACAGGCAAGATTGCTCGGCACTCTGTGTTGTTTTTTTGTTTTTTTCCCCAGTGTCCATTCTTTTTATCTGTAACTGATTTGCATGTTGTCTTGCTGTTTGACCCTGTTTGCTGCTGGTTTGCAGAGCAGCACTTGTTCCAGCTGAGGGCTCATATGTACCAGGCCCGTGGTCTCATTGCAGCAGATAACACTGGCCTCTCAGACCCCTTTGCCTGGGTGTCTTTTCTGTCCAATAGCCAAAGCACTGGTGTAAGCATGAGTTTGTGTGATGTTATTCTAGACAAAAATCCAATAGATGATGCTGTTAACTGCACCAGTATATTCTGAATTAGAATATTCTTTCACTAGTTTAGATTAGATACAACTTTATTATTATTGTGGTTCTACGAAAATGTGCAAGGTTTTGAGAAAGTTTCACTAGTGAATCAATTGTCAAAATACTTTTTAGAACATGTATAGAGAAGTGAGAGCACCTATTTTACATATACATGCTTTGTTTGGTTTTGGATAATTAGTCACAAAGGATATAATTACCACAAAGCAAATAACCTTATAATGTGAAAAGGTAATTGACATTTGTTCATATTGTCATTTTTTTTAGATCATCAAGCAAACTTTAACTCCTACATGGAATCAGCTGATCCTGATAAATAATGTGTGTCTGTATGGAGGGCTTTATGAAATGGTCCAGGAGCCACCGCTAGTTGTGATTGAGGTGTATGATGATGATGCAGTGGTGAGGAAAACACATTCACTTAAATATACAGACTACAGATGTAGGTCTTCTCCTAGTGTGGATTGTCCTGTTATTTAATTAACCCTTATATGCAGCTGAAAAAAGTTGTATTGTTTCTCTTCTACTTCGCAATATTTCTCAGTCTGTCTTAAATGTTTTGAGCTGAAGCAATGGTTTGCTCTCTTCAGGGTATAGAGTACCTGGGGTCGACAATGGCTGTTCCTGTAGTCAAACTGTCAGATGAGCGATACTCCCCTCCTCAGCTGCAGTACAGCCCTCTGTTCTGTGGCAGCTTGTCAGGAGGAGACATACTGGGAGCGTTTGAACTCATTCAGGTCCAGTCTAACAAACACAGCACATTTACAATGTAACAATGTAGTAATGTGGCTGAATCGGTTATTTATTACTATTACTAAAAATAAAATGCTATTTATATGTTCAACTAACATGTATAATCTAATACAGAAAGTAATATGGTGTCTGCTGTATATCTTGTCCCATGATCCTGTAGATCTCAAAGTCAGGAGAAAATACACTTCCTGATTTAGATGAGCCGGATGGAGGGGTTATTCCAGTACCCTCATACATTCGACCTGTGCTCTGCAAGTACAGAATTGAGGTGAACAATCCATGACTTGTGGTCAATGTAAAGTACAAAAATAAATAAATAAATAAAAAACAGGGTAAACACTTTATTACCATTCTTATGAAAGCACATTGCATTGCAATAGTTAAGCTGACAATTGTAAACGTGAAAATATTTCAAGCAGTAAATTGTAAACAAATTACATGTCTTTGCATAGTGTGAGACAGATTTTGAGATTTGTGTTTTGCCGCCGTTTCATTTCATACACTGATTGTAAAGACTTTGTTTTCTTTTCGATTCACAGTCGTTAGTCATTTGAATCTAAGGCCATCATTATTCTTGAAAATCATTTATGAGCCATTGATTTCATGAGTTCATGAACAAAATCTAAGCCCCCTCATACAAAAAAAATTAATATATATTTATTTACTGTATTTTTTTTTTATTAAACTGTATATGGATTTTGTTAAACAACATACATACATACAACACAGATTTAAATAATTCAGGTTTAACTACATTGTTGCATTGTATACCTATTCAGGGCAATTCCTATAAATGCAACACATTTTTGCTTTTCAATTTTGGCTTTTGAGTGCTTTCTGCTAGATGTATTTACATCTTTCATGTGTCAACTTGTGACATCTTGTTCTGAAACCTTTAGTCAGAGCTTTTTTCGTTTGGTGTCAAACCACTATATCTCAAATCAATGATCTTTTCCCAAAAGTGTTATGAATTCCTCTTAGTTTTATAAGCATCTCTCAAATGTCATTCAATATCTGATCAGCGTTTACACATGTAGACAAAACTGTATGGTGGTAGTTGGAAATAGTCTTGTGGTCTACAGCATATATCAAGTCTCACTATTATTAGGTGTTACTACATTTGTGCTCAAAATTGCTTATGTGTAATTAAGTGTTTTGTCAATTACAAAATTGTAACATGGGTCTACTATTTTGAGTCTTTGGTAAATAAATGTAGCTTTTTTTCAATGCACTATTAGTGTTTTGTCTGTACTATGTATACCAGTCTTGTTGAGTTTTTTTTGTTTCTGTGCACTGCAGGTTTTGTTCTGGGGCCTCAGAGAGCTGAAGAAAGTTCAGCTTTTATCTGTCGATCGGCCCCAAGTTTTTATCAAGTGTGCGGGAGGAGGCGTCAACTCTTCAGTCATACAGAGTTACAAGAAAAACCCAAACTTCACAATACTTGTGGATGCCTTTGATGTGGTAAGCCAACTGCTGCAATAACAGGGTATATGGTGTCGTCCCCATCGCTCTGCTCACGTGATTCCTCTCTAAGCATTCAGCTGATCTCAGCATGTCTGTGTCCGCTGTTATCTGTCTGTAGGAGCTGCCTGAAGACGAATACCTCCTCCCTCCTCTTACTATCACTGTGGTGGACTGGAGGGCCTTTGGGCGGAGCACACTTGTGGGTAGTCATATGATCAACAACCTGGCCTTATTCAAACACATCCCCACATTAGTTCAACAGCCTCAACCGGAACCCAGAAACATAGCAGGTAACACACATCCCAGTTCTAGTCCCTGAGATTTTTGTCCCAACAAAAAATCTAACCTATACCTCTTGCATGAAATAATTAATGTCTAGGAAAAATATTATGATCCCCAGCCCCCAATAATATATAATCCCAGATGGTCTCGGACAGGATGCTTAATCTTGCTTCTGCAGAATTTAGTTCAAACCCTGCTCAAACACATCTGTCTGTATGTAATCAATCCCTAAACCCACTGAGCAATGAATAAAAATGATTGTCTAAATCTAATTTAAAGTATGGTTTGTTTTTGGCCTGTAGTGGCTCAGCTGTCTCTGCAGCAGAGTGTTGTGCCACCGCCTGATGAGGAGATCGCCATTGAAATAGAGCCGGAGGAAATAATCACCGCTGCCTCTAAAACTGAGCCAGACTTCCAGGACAAGAAGGTTTATTTTTTGAGTTGGATAAATTTGAGAAAACATCACATTAACACCGGTGTTACCAAATATGTATCTAAAACATCCTACATCAATGGAAAATTTATTTATTCAGCTTTCAGATGATTTATAAATCTCAATTTCGAAAAATTGACACTTAAGACTTGTTTTGTGGTCCAGGGTCACATATGTGCAAGTAGAAGCATATAAACACATGCACACATTACCAATCTACTATGACTATCAAACTCTTCATCAATGCCAGGTGTCGAAGAAGAGCAAACGAACATCTACGAAAAGGAAGAAACGCACCACAGCTGATGAGTCTGCTGATAATGTCATTGATTGGTGGTCGAAATACTATACATCAATGGAGAAGATCCAACTGGTAAGCTTCCAAACTAGTTAAAAAATAAATAAATATATAAACACTTTTTTTTTTTGCTAACTAGTTGTTTTGTACCACAACTTCTTTCTTAGGCAAAGCAAAAAGAAAACAATCCATTTCCACTGCTCTTTGAAAATAGTAGGTGATATCTGAGTTTATTCCAAAATCATTCTTGTCCTCTGGATCATGTAGACACATCATGCTCCAGCTTTAGTCAAACATGATCACGTTGTGATGTGTTTCAGTAACTCCTTTGGAGAACATTATTTCCGAAGGATTGATCAGTCTGGGTAAGAATGACTGGGAGACTGTCCATTGCATGGCCCTCTTTCTTTGTTGCGGTCAACAGGATTGCAGAATGTTTTGTTTACTATGCAAACCCTGTGCATTTGAATGGAATTAAATTGTCTACATATTCTTTTAAAACTTAAAAAAAAAATTAAATGCTGCTTACACGAGAGATCACACAACATTTTGCAATCCCAGTGAACCAAGATCTGCACCTCTATTTCTGGGTTTTGTACACATACACTACTTTTCAAAAGTTTAGGGTCGGTAAGATTTTTTAATGTTTTTGAAAGAAGTCTCTTATGCTTGCCAAAGCTGCATTTATTATTATTATTATTATTATTTACAGCATTGGTTACTTTTAATGTAATTTAAAATGTAATTATTTCTGTGATGGCAAAGCTGAATTTTCAGCAGCCATTACTCCAGTCTTCAGTGTCACATGATCCTTTGATATAATTTTAATATGCTGACTTGGTGTTCAAGACTTTTATCAAAGTATGTTCATCAAAAGTATGGAGAAATATATTTATCAAATAAATTAAGCATTTGTTCCCTCATTCTAATTAAATCGTGGCCTCGAATTAAGAATTCGTTCCCAGGGCTTATTGATTAGTCCCCTCATTTTGGTACTGAGGGAATGAATTTACACAATGTGGCCAGGATTTACTAAATATATATATATGTCATTCTGGGCTCTGTACAAAAGAAGAGCATTTATTTGAAGTTTTTGTAACATTATAAATGTCTTTACTGTCATTTTAATGTGTCCTTGCTAAATACAAGTGTTAATTTCTTTCTTTCTTTCTTTTCTGTCAAAAAACTAAAAACTAATTTCATGTTAATGGCAGTACGTTGAGAAGTTGTCAGCTGGTTGGTTTGTGTTGGTTGTATAATACACTAAAAACTGCTGGTGGAAGTGATAAAAGCATATTTAATTGATTCTTTAATTTACTTTTAATTTCTTAATATCAGTTTACCTTCAAAGTCTTTTAGACTGTGTGCAAGTTATTTTGATAGGCTGTTTTTTCCCTTCTTTTTTGTGGTATCTTTAGCATCAAATATTAAAGACAAGAAAAAGGAGGTGAATTACAAGAGTGTGGTAGAACAGCCCAGGCTTGTAACATTACAGGTAAAATGTGTCATTACAATGCTTAGTTTACCTGCAAATATTGTCTATACAATAAATGAGGATTTATCTATTAAATGGATGTGCAGTCTCACTTGTCAATCACTTCAGGTGTATGACAAAGAGTTGGAGGCTGAGTTTGGGCCTTTTGACGACTGGGTTAAAACCTTCGAACTCTATCGAGGAAAGGCCAATGAGGAAGAAGGTTCTGCTGATGAAAGATTTGTTGGGAAGTTTAAGGTAAAGTGGTTTTGAAGTACCATTACATACATGGAGGCTTTTTAAGATCCAGGTCACAGAATTCCCATCATTGATTGTGCCATCAGGGCAGGTTCTGTCTGTACAAGCTGCCTGAAACGGATGATGAGGAGGAGGATGGATATTTGGATTCTGGGCAGTTTAAAATAAACCAGGGTATTCCTCCAAACACTGCCGTGGACGTCCTTATCCGTGTGTACATAGTTGCAGTAAGTGCAGTTTTTGATTCTAGAGTATTGATGCTGTTGAAAGTACTTATTGTTTCGTTTTTGATAATTGTTACGTATTATTTGTTCATGCTTTAAAATGAAATAGATCTAGTTTCACTGATGATGGTTATTTCTGGTCTGTTGCTGGTTTGACTAGTCAAGTCAAGTTTATTTTCACGATACAAATGATTGCAAAGCAACTTTACAGCAAATTAAGTTTCTACAATATTTAGTGGTAGCTTATCAGTGGTGACTGTCAGTTAATGTACATATGGCAGAAATGTACGGAAAAATCAATTTAAGACGTAATAAAACAGACGATGAACACTATTAACAGCAATTATTATATGATGCAATCAAACTTATAGCAAAATGTGGTAGTTCTGTATGTTGTTTCAGGGTTGGCATCATCTGAGGTCCTCTGAGGGGTTGGCATCATCTCTTCTCAGGTGTTCTGGATCCAGACTGAAGCTTGTGTAAATCCTAGTTACCACGGGATGTCAATTATGTATAGAGACATAATTAGCGTAGCTGCTGTTCCAACCAAGCAAAAATGATTTGTTTAACCCAAACTAAAGAATAATAATGTGCATTTGATCAGATATAACTGCAGTACAAGATTATGAGATGCATTATTTGAATGCTTGGCCAAAGAGATGTGTCTTTAATCTAGATTTAAACAGAGAGAGCGTGTCTGAACCCCGAACGTTATCAGGAAGGCTATTCCAGAGTTTGGGAGCCAAATGCGAAAAAGCTCTACCTCCTTTAGTGGACTTTGCTATCCTAGGTACTACCAAAAACTTCCAAGTTAGTTTTTCTCCATTTGCGCTCAAGACTACGAGTTTTTTCTGGAGAGAAGGGGTATTACTGTTGTACCATGGCAGGGTCCGTGGTGTCCCGGCGCCGGAGTGAAGGACATCTGAGAAGATCGCGTCCTGGGTGCACCGGGCCTGTGCAGAGAAACACACGGAGTAGAGGTGGTGGGAGAATTAGTGGATTAGTGGAATTAGTGACTAGTGGACCAGGACACATTAAATTGATCAAAAGTGACAGTAAAGACTTTTACAAGATTCCTATTTCAAAACAAATGCTTTTCTTTTGAGCTTTCTATTCATCAATATTCACATGATAGTCATTTGTCACTCTCTTATGCATTTTAGGCCTTCAATCTGCACCCTGCGGACCCAGATGGCAAAGCAGACCCTTACATAGTGCTGAAACTTGGGAAAACTGAGATCAAAGACAGAGACAATTACATCCCAAAGCAGCTCAACCCAGTGTTTGGAAGGTGAACGAGCACAATGAACTTTGAAATTCTACTAACTCTGTTTTTCTTTGAGGTTCATTCTCTCTTCATCTTTCTCTGCTGTTCAGATCCTTTGAATTTCAAGCCACTTTCCCCAAGGAATCCCTGCTAACTATTCTCATCTATGACTATGACACTGTTGGTGGTGATGATTTGATTGGAGAAACACAGATTGATTTAGAGAACCGTTTTTACAGCAGGCATCGAGCTACCTGCGGCCTGCCTACTGAATATACCATGTGAGTACTTATAACATTTTCATCTTCTATCGAAGTTATTTTCATGCCCACCTTTGATGCATCAATTGATGATCTCATGTGACCTAGAGAGGGTTATAATGCATGGAGGGACTGCATCAAGCCAACAGACCTGTTGATTAAGCTTTGCAAAGAAAACAAACTGGACAACCCTAGCTTTTCTCCAGGACGTATTACCATTGGAAGCAAAGTTTTTACAGGGAAAACTGTATTTGCTGATGAAGGTAGGTAATTCTTTTGGCGTACATCAAATATTGTTGATTAATAATTAAAGGAGTAATGTACCACAAGTATTTGCTGCTGCTTCACAGATCAGATGGTGGAGTCGTACGAGCACCTGGCTCTGAAGGTGCTGCAAAGGTGGTCTGAGATGCCCAATGGTGGTTGTAAACTTGTGCCAGAGCATATTGAAACTCGCGCACTCTACCTCAAAGACAAACCAGGAATAGACCAGGTGCTGTGTGTTGTTTAAAGGATTATGCAACCTTAATGCACTATATATACATTAAGAATGCATATATGAGTAATTTGGGTGGTGGAGTGATTCTCAGGGATGTTTCTCAGGGTCATCTGCAGATGTGGGTGGACATTTTTCCCATGGATATGCCTCATCCTGGCCCTCCTGTGGATATTTCCCCTCGCAAACCCAAAGGGTAAGATCCACTAAACCATCTTACTGGGTTGTGCTATAAAATGAATACTTGTTTGACACATCTTATGTTTTTTGTTTTGTTTTGTTTTTTTATAAAGTTATGAGTTGAGGATCATTATCTGGAACACTGAAGATGTCATACTGGAGGACACCAACTTCATAACAGGACAGCAGTCAAGTGACATTTATGTTAAAGGGTAATCGCAAAAAGTGTATCACAATAAATATAGACAATCTTTAATTATTTATATATTGAAAAAGTCTCCCAATATATACTACTGTTCAAAAGTTTGAGGTTAGTAAGATGTGTGTGTGTGTGTGTGTGTGTGTGTATACAGTACATATGTTAGTTAATACTTTTATTCAGCAAGGATGCATTGAATTGATCAAAGAATACTGAAAAAAAGTCATGATTTATTTATTCCACAAAAATATTAAGCAACATGTGACACTGAAGACTGGAATAATTGCTGCCAAAAATTCAGATTTACATTTACATTTGAAAAAATATTATTTTATTTTAAATTGTAATAATGTTTCACAGTATTACTGTCTTAGTGTATTTTTGACTAAATAATGCAGCTTTTGTGAACATAAGAGACTTGCCGACCTCAAACTTTTGAATGGTAGTGTAGATATTGTTGCAAAAGGAGAAGTTTTCTGAAAATGAATGCTTTTGTGTTTTAAGTAAACTCTGGTGAATTTCATGTTTTTCTTTAGGTGGTTAAAGGGGCTTGAGGATGACAGCCAGGAAACTGATGTCCATTACAATTCTCTGACTGGAGAGGGCAACTTCAACTGGCGCTTTGTGTTCCCCTTTAACTACCTGCCGGCTGAGAAAGTGGTGGTGGTACAAAAGCGAGAAAGCATCCTCTCTCTGGACAAAACTGAACAGAAGATCCCTGCAGTCCTTGTTATGCAGGTGTGGGATTTTGAGAGGCTTTCTTCTGATGACTTCCTGGGTAAGAATCTCTTTTGTTTAACATGCTTACATTTGCATCTGTTTTATATGCATCACGTCCTCCCTAGAACCGCTCTGTTGTCACTCCTGATGGGATTTGACTTAGCTCACAGTCCCTCTACTTGAGTAGCAAAAACACACAATTATACCTAAGAAACTTGGCTTAAAATAGTTGTTATTAATACTTCATGAAGATCATTTTTATGTCCATAGGCTCAGTGGAGTTGGACCTGCATGGGTTTCCACGTGGAGCTAAATCAGCTAAAGCTTGTAGGATGGAAATGCTGACAGAAACCACAGAGAACATCTCTATCTTCCAGCAGAAACGCTCCAAAGGCTGGTGGCCCTTCATTAAAGCTGGAGATCTCACAGTGTGTGAATTGAATTATTTCACTGAAAAAAAAAATTGTGAATTAAACTCTGTGTAAAGCTCAATGGCTCGTTAGCAAACAATCAAAACCTAAACTTTTGACTAATTTATTCTAAATGTAATTATGTTATCCGTTTTCATTTGTTCTATACAAAGCAGTAGGTATGGGAATGAATGTCTTTACACAAACATGTGACCTAATAAAAGTAGTGTTTCAACTTTTCTTTACGTAGGGGAAGGTAGAAGCGGAGTTTCATCTGGTAACAGCTGAAGAGGCAGAGAAAAATCCAGTGGGACGTGCACGCAAGGAACCAGAGCCTCTAGAGAAACCAAAGTAATGTGACTAATACACTTATTTTAACACCTATTTCAGATGTTTTTATTCATATTATTACCAGGGCTGTCAATCAAATTAAAAACATATAGGCCAATATAATTAGAAAAACAAACTGAATTGACTTACATATGTTTAAGGTAGTTCTACTCTATGTACTATATACTGTATGTGAATTATTTCTAATATCAAACTTTGACTTTTCTAGTCGTCCAGACACATCCTTCTCCTGGTTTATGAATCCTTTCAAGTGCTTCTTTCACCTGATCTGGGGGAACTACAAGAAATACATCATTGCCGGACTGGTGCTGTTGATCGTGACCTTGTTCCTGGTTCTTATCTTCTACACCCTCCCCGGGGCGATCAGTAGTAAGATAGTCAACGGGTAATCAAACACCCTGATAAAGTAACTGGACACAAATGAGCAGCACAAATTTAACTTGTTATTGTTGTTGCTTTAATGAAGCACACATTTAAACGCTTGCTCTGCAGGTAGAACATAACAGGCTTTGCTGATTTTAGGAACAATCTTCTATTTAATATGCACCAACAAATGTAACATTCACACAACATTAAATGTTTAATAATCTTTAAACAGCATAAAACATTGAACATAGCACATGAAAACTGTAGGAAACATGTTTTATTAATCACATCCTACCTTCTGTAAACTGTCAGATGAACAGATTTGTTCTACTTGTAGAGCTTTGAATCTAGATAAAAGATTATGAAGTGACTTTTTCAGAATGACAGCAATAATTCAAAAATGAATATTTGTGTAAATGCAGTGACATAAAACAAGCGAGCACAACCCCAACGAATCAATGTCATGTAAATTTGTGATTGTTACAAAGAGTTAAAATAACATTTTTCAGTCTTTGTGAAACACATAGTGTATTGCCTTGTGTTGAAACCAGAAATGATCTAAAAAATGATAGTGATTTATTCTCAGCTCGTTGAAATTTCTTGTTCTTTCTCAGAATACTAATTAAACTGAATTTAACTGTAGCACTGGTAGTATGTTATGAAGTAAGAAATGTAGCTTTATGAAGTTCTGATTCAAAGACCAGAACAAGTCTTAAATGTTAATGTAGTATTTCAGTTGTTGTTTTTAGTGTGGCTTTTGAGCCTTAAAGCTCCGGCTCTTGAATTATGGAAGCAACAGTCACAATACATAATGTGCACTTTTTTTGTAAGTCACTTTGGCTAAAAAAACAACAACAACTAAGATAGCTGTAAGTGAATCAATAACCAAAACTGATAGGGCTCTTGGTTTACAGTTTTCCCCATTACTGACACAATAGAAAAATATTCCATACCTTTTCATACCAAAACATACCATTATATCAACCACCAAAACAGAGACTAATTTCCAGAAACTATAAACAGCATTCACCGCTTTTTCTGTTAAACCACATTTGCCTGCTCAAAATCGAACACGCATATTAGCTTACACAGCAATTTTGCAATGCGTGCTCATTTAGAAAGCACTGGCATACAACATTTTTTGGTCAACAAAAAAATGTCAACATGGTTATTGCCGACAATGCCGTTTACTAGAAAAATTTAGGCAACAAAAATGAACATGAAGGTATATTTCAATGAATGAACCAAATTAGTATTTCAAACCACCCTGAACACTGCAGTCAAAAATACAGATGAAAAACATTTCCGCAAGCACGTGAGCCAGCATAACCAGGGCAGTCATGCTGACAAATGTCAGTTTCCACTGCATGCAGAGCACAAATTTCTTCACCAATGACCACAATATCCTTGGAAAATATTTTTGTACCTTTTTAGTTTACGTTATTCAGCTCAGTTGAATTTAGAATGCATTTTATAATGCAATTTGAGTTGTTTAATGTTACTAAATAACCAGTTTTTTCTACTCAATTTGGATTCAGTTTGCAACGGTCAAAGTAAACATGAATGTGTTTTTGAATAGTCCAATTTTTGGACTATTTTTGCACAGATCAGTATGATTTTTTGTTTTTAAGTTTCATAGTATTAGGAAAAAAGTGTCTCGCTTCGGAAAATGTCACTTTGTTAAGCATTAAGATGACAACAACTCAGCGCTGTCATTAATTAGTGACGTTTCAATTTCAAATGGTAATGCATGGAATTTACGGAAAAGCTCAACTAAATAACAGTGTTAATAAATGGGGGGCGTGGTGACTTTGGTGATCGGCGCTCCAGTCAATCTACTCCACAGCCAATCACTGGCCCCCTCCTTGCTCGGGCCCCGGGGCTTCAGCCCCGCCTAGCCCTATGGTTAAAACGGCCCTGGCTGCATCATTGGTAAGTTGATCGAGGTGCAGTGGTTCTGTGCTGTGATAGCGCTGAGAGGCCAGACGGCATCAGGCCTACATTGATGTCATGTGCCACTGCAGATTGAGTAGGACTGGGCCCCAGCTGCAGCAGCAGATTATATGTGCCAGTCTCTGACAGTCCCCTTCTGAATCCAAACCCACCGCGCGGCGCCGTCGCTCCGCCTCGCCTGCGGGTGGAGATCAGGCTGCCACGCTGGGCAGGTGAACTCTGCACAGCGGCTCCGCTAAACTGTGCAGCCTGCGAGGCCATCAGACAGCCTTGTAATTTGCGTTTGGCACGCCAGCGGGCCACTCGAAGACGAGTCTTTTCCCTCCGTTCCCTTACCAAGTCTGCAAGCAGAGCCTGCGGTAGAGTCTGCTCCAGCTCACGCCGTCGGTTTGTATTACGGCCTCTCAGAGTTCGGCTGCGTTTGTATTCTTCATACAGATTCAGGTCCTTACGTCTCGGACGCACCTGCTTTAGGACCCCTGCCACAGACAGCTGAGAGTCGTCATCTAAATACAGCCAGGGAAGAGAGAGATTACATATATTAATACAAATATTCAGTATTTTAACTAAATATTGAGGCATTTCACACAAGTAGAAAGTGATGATTTAAAACACCTTTACTGTTTTATATGATGTTAATATGATGCATTTATGAATTTATACCAAAATTTTTATCGTTTATTTAAATATTTAAATAAACATTAACTGAAATTAAATAAAATATTTTTAAAATATTTAATTTCAGCTAGTTGCCAAAGCAATATTTCCAATTTTCTTTTATTTTATTGATTTTATAAGTTTCATTTATTTTATACTAAAATACAAATTTTAACTAAAGTTAAAAAATAAGAAAACAACTATATAGAAATATTAAAAAACTAACTCAAAAACAAAAAAA